CCTATGTACCACAACCACTGCCACCACGATCACGGCGACTGAGCCGCCTTACTGCTCCCACTACGACCTGTACGACTACCACCTACTACTACTACTACTACTACTACTACTACTACTACTACTACTACTCTCTACTACTGCTGCTGCTGCTGCTGCTGCTACAGAGCTACTCTCGTTGCTGCGCCTGCTACCGGTGCTGCCGTCGCGGCCACTACCACGACGGTGACGACCACGACCACTGCCGCTGCCACGATCACCACCGCGACCAGGACCACGACGACTATTGCTACAAGTGGTGTACCACTACCACTATATCACCACGACCTCACGACCACGAGCACCACCACAACAAGCACCACGAACACGACCACTGCCACTGTGACGATCACGACCGTGGCGGCGAGGACGAGGACGACGACGACTACTGCTAGCAGTACCACTATACCACGCTACTACCACTACCACTACCATCATTACCACAACTGCTGCTGTTTTTGTAATCGCACGAATTCCAGCAAGTCCAGATCTGGGGTTCTCGAGCTTCGGTCGATTGGGCGCCTGGCTGGCATGTGCTTTGGGATTTAAGTCTAACTGTAGCTTCTCCCCGAAAATATTTTGGAAGTCATGAACACGGCAACGCGGTGTGGATTCGAGATTAAGTGTATTTTGAGGTTCAGGGTGATGACCATGGTCATAGGCCTTAGAACTAAAGGCCGAAAGCGTTCACCGGTCGTCACCTGGGAAACCTTCGGCCGGTGCAGGAGATCTTGCTGTGCCGTGCAAAGAGGCTTGGCTTCTGAAGGCCAGGGTTCCGGGTCGCCCCTGAGGTGATGCTGGGTAGTAACAATAGCACTGATGAGGGGGACGCTCAGCGAGGCAACCACCCGCGCCTACACAAGTCACAGGAACAAGAACAGGAATACTTACGGACCATACGTGAGGCCATACAGGACCTACAGCTGAAGTCGAAACCCTGGAGACTCCAGAGTGACTTGCAAAACCAACCCATCTTTCCTTTCAGCTGAAATTCCGCAGTCGTGAGTCCTTTGACTCTTATCTCCTTCGTAGTGGCTATGGTTTGGTGCCTGGGCTCTTTACACGAGTCACGAAAAGGCATGCCGTCATCGAGTGGTGAGCTGGGTGCTGCTTGACAGCTGTGATGTCGTCTCTTGTTAATGGAGCTTTTCCAGGACAAAGTTCCTCTCGGCATTGTGCCCGAAAAACAGAAGCTGCGGCCAATTAGTCATACCTACATCCGGAGTGCGCAGACGTAGGTTAGACTTCTTCGTCAGCTGCAAGATGCTGAGCCTGTGATGCCCTGTGGGCTGCTATGGAGCTTGCCAGACATGCACTGAACTAATCTGAGTTCGGCTCCCAGCCTCTTGTGAAACGAAATGAAGTTGCTGCTTTTGTTGCTGCAAGGTGCTGTTCTCGCCGTAGCATGCGTACACAGCTTCCGACATCAGTCGTGATTTGTTGCGTTAACGCTGCCGTACGCTTTGCCCATGGTACCAAAGGTGTTGTTGCTATCGTGCCTGTCTGACGGAGAAGGTCTGAAGATTTTCAGGCAGAGCCAGTTGCCTCATCCAGCCGGATGGTTTTGTTTGGGTCCTGTGGGAAGTGTGAGGTGGGCTTCCATGCAGCCGTACGTTTCCCGATAATGCTGGTGCAGACTTGATACCCTCTGTGATGCCAGGGAAGTTGGCAGGCATGCATGGTGCTGTTCTCGCCGTAGCATGCGTACACAGCTTCCGACATCAGTCGTGATTTGTTGCGTTACTGCTGTCGCACGCTTTGCCCATGGTACTAAAAACGTTGTTGCCATCATGTCTGTCTGAC